GGGCGTGGGCGCTGGGGGCACCCCCCCAGTCTCTGGTGGCACCCCTGGGCACTGGTGGCACCTCCAGGCGCTGGTGGCACCTCCAGGTGCTGGTGGCGTCCCCGGGCGCTGGTGGCACCTGCGGCGTCGGCGTCCCGGTGGGCGCTCAGACGTTGCTGATGCGGCCGCTCAGGGGTGCTCCCTCCCGCTCCCGCTCCGCCGCCTCCCGCAGGGACTCCTCCAGCTTCACCTTCTCGGGGTCCCCGAACCGGACGGTCTCGTGGAGGCAACAGGGCGCCGTCACCTTCACCACCTGGTCGAAGAGGCTGAAGTCGGCCACATACTTGCCGCTGGCCGAGAGGGAGATGGCCGGGGTGAACTCGTAGCCCCAGAGGATCTCCTCAGGCAGGTAGGAGGTGCGGACCTGGCAGGTGGCGCTGGTGGACTCCACGGTGCCACTGAGGATGACCACCAGCTCAAAGTCGCCTTCGCCCGTCCGCAGGGCCACGTCCCGGAAGGGGCTGGCGTCGTCCACCACGTGGTAGAAGGTGAGGGGCAGGATGAGGAAGGGGCTGTCGGAGGAGGTGTCCACCTGGAAGTCCACGTTGACCTGGTTGAGGCGGACGCTCTCGCCCTCCTTGGTGAGGTGGGTCTGGAGGAGCTTGCCCGTCACCTGGCAGCCAATGAGGAGGCTCTTGCGCATGTTGGCCACGCGGATCATCAGGCAGGTCTTGCCGTTGTGTTGGGCCACCACCGCGTTTTGGCTGAACTTGATGGTCTCGGCGCGTTTCTTGGGCCGGGCGATCTTGGCCAGGAAGGTGCCGGTGATGAAGATCTCCATGATGGTGGTGAGGACCAGCTGGGTGATGAGCAGGACGATGGCGAGGGGACACTCCTCGCTGATGTAGGGGAAGCCGTAGCCGATGGTGGTCTGGGACTCCAGAGAGAAGAGGAAGGCACCGGTGAGGGTGTGCACCTGCATGACGCAGGGCGTGTGGTTGGCTGGTGGGTCAAATTCCAGCAGGTCCCCATGGACCACGGCCACCAGGTACCAGATGACACCGAAGGCGAACCAGGTGCCGGCGAAGGTGGCGGAGAAGAGGACCAGCTTGTAGCGCCACTGCATGTCGATGAAGGTGGTCCACAGGTCCTTGAGGTACAGAAAGCGCTTGTCGGCGATGTGCTCCATCCGCACGTTGCTGCGGCCGTCCTTGGTCATCACCCGGCGCCGGCGGAGCCCCGA